GCACAAAACTTATTCTCTCTGATGGCCACCGGCGGCACGTCAGGAGAGCACAATGGTGGAAGCGGTAGTGTGGTGGTGGTTCATGGTTGGCAGTGATTTTGTGGTGGTGGTTCATGGTTGGCAGTGTGGTGGTGATTTTGTGATTTTGTGGTGGTGTTGGATTTAGTGGTGGCTGCTTTGTTGTTGGTAGGGTTGTGGTGTGGTGGTGGTGTATCTGATAGGGTATGTTGGATCTAATGGTGATGTGGATCTGGCGGTGGTTGGCTTGGGCATGGTGCTGTGTGCAGTAGTTAGCTTGAGGGCAGTGGTGTACTGTCAATGTGATAATCATGATTGGAGGTGAAAATGGGTGTTGGTTAATTTGTGACCAACCATTTTTTTATCTGTGACCACGAAAGAATCCGTGAGTCTGTGTGGTTGACTAAAACTTTAGACACATTGTGTGACCTATAAAATTTGATCTGTGACCAACTGATTTTGAAATTTGTCACCGACAAAATTAATTGTGACTTACAAATTTTTTGATCTGTGACCATTAAATAATTCGTGACCAACAATTTGGAAATATGCAACTTACGAATAAGCTGTGAACAATCTGTGACCATTAATTCTATATAATTGTGACCATAATATATTTAATTAATTCACTAATACCTGATTTATGAATTTTGAAACTTAAAACCTCAATATTGATTTGTTTCATTCTAAACATCTGAATTTTGAACTCTTCCCTTTTGATAATACCTTATTTGAAAAATTACTATCACAACATCTACTTTTCTCAAAAAAAAAAGGGCTCAAGAGCTAAAACTCGATAGAGGCCCATTCTTATGAGCCTTGTACAACCCATTTAAAAGCGAATCTTCTTGACGTAATTCACAACTCACGCCTGCTGTTTCTTGCTGATAGAGCTGATAGAGCAACGGGACGGGACAAGCGGCTTAGGGTTTCCCTTGGCACTAATCTATCTCGTGTTGCAGTGATTTCTACAAGGATTTATCTTGTGTGCAGTGATTTCTACCCAACTTCATCACCAGACTTGGAAGGTAGTATCAAATTTATCTGTGTAAAAACGGGGTTTTATGTTGATTTTGCACTCGCTTTGAGGGTTCTGAATGATTTAATTTCGACACAACCTCGATCTAATAATTGTCCAGCCTTATCTGAATTTATTTTTTATGCCAATATGTTGTTTCTCGATGTTAGTCTTCCTTACACAACAGCAATTTTCTCGACAATATAGTTCTCTTGAATGTTTGATGTGGTTGTTTATGGTTTTCCCATTCCTTAGAACCTGCCGCCCCTCAATTGTCATCGGCAAAATACTCAGGACCAAAATCCAGTGGGAGCAACTGCCCCTTGGGATAAGGCTTTGTGGGGAATGTTTTTAGTTCCCAATCTATAGAGTCGGACACAGGAGGTGGAGAATTGAGATTGATAGATACTTCAATTCATTCTAGATAAGATATTCTTTTTCTTTATGGGTTTGGTGAATTTTTTTCTGTTGGATTGATTAATGACTCTCTGATATAGGTAAATCAATTGATCAAGGTTGGTCCCCCCCCCCCCCCCTTCCCTCCCCATGGATTTCGATTTTTAACTTGATCTGGTTTGATTAAATGGATTTTCATTTTCCACTTAATTAGGTCTGATTGATTTCTCTAAACAAAAACCTACCTTATACTATCATTTAAAGTAGCTGTGTTCTTTTTTTTTTTTTTTCCCTGTTGGATTGATTATGGCCTTCGCGTAATCGATTTAGGGTTAGTTGGAATTTAGAAATTGCACTGTGATCGCTTTCGTAATATCATAATTTGTTTAGAGGTCTTGGTTGTTGATCTTCCGACGAAACGTGTATATTCTTAGTTTTATAAGTCTGAAGTTGTTTTTTTCAATTTTATACATTTGTTCTTCTATCTCTTTTTGAAAGTAATTTTATATGCTCTAATTTTGTGGTTTTTAAAACATTTAAAAATCAGGGTTCAGAGGGCAGGCTTTGGGGAGATTTGAGACCTCAGTTATCAGTCGATATCACTAAAATACTCTGATGGGCAGAAAGAAGCCAAGCACCCGTGACGATGACAGCGCCACCACAACTCAGGGTGGTGGTGCAGGAAAGTCAAAGAAGAAGACCTTTGTGATTGATGATGATGAGTATTCTATGGAAGAGCCTGTTGCTGTTCAGGAAGAGGAAGTAGCAGCACCAGTGGTTAATAGAATGGTTAAAAAGGGAAATTCAAAGAAAATAGAAGCTAAGGATGATGAAGATGAGGTGGAGGAGACAGAGGATGTAGAAGATGATGATAATGAGGCTTTTACTTCAAAATTTTCTGGTAAAAAGAAAGGAAAAGCCAAGAAAGGAGGGAATAATAATAATCCATTTAGTGCTTCAGGTTTTGGCTTACTTGGAGAGGGAGACGACGAGGATAATGAAGATTTAGATCTGACAAAGGGTAGTGAAGAAGAAGGGAACAGTTTCTTGGCATTCACCGGGAAAAAGAAGCCCTCAAAATCAAAAAAGGGCAGTGGTGTCAGTGGAATCATGTTTAGCCCATCTGTATTTGGCTCAATTGCTGATGATGAGGACGAAGGTGGGGAAGTTGATGATAATGAGAATGAGCCAGTGATCTCATTTTCTGGGAAGAAGAAGCCTGCAAAAAGTAAGAAGAATGATGGGACTATGTTTTCCTCTGCTAGCTTCAATTTGTTGGATGAAGTGAAAGATGGGGATCAAGATAAATATGAGAGATTTGATGAGGATGATAAGGATGCTATGGCTATTACTTTTGCTGGTAAGAAGAAGTCGTCCAAGGGTTTGAAAAAGAGTGCAGGAAATTCATTTAGGGTGGCTCTGCTTGATGAAGAAATTGACGAGGATACTTCTGTTTCAAAGCCCGATGTTAATTTTGAAGAAGGTGATACCGTCTATGAGGGGGAAGATGTCTCAGTGATTAAATTTTCTGGTAAGAAGAAGTCGTCTAAGAAGAAGAATATCAGTACATATACTGCGTTGGAAATTGGGGTAGGAGATGAGTCTTCAGAAATCATAGAACCTGATCAGAGCAGTGTGAGCATCAGTAGTAAAGAAGCCGAGGAGTCAAAAAGTAAGAAGCAGACAATTGAAGATGTAGCAGAAACTTCAAAGAATAAAAAGAAGAAAAAGAAGGGTGGGAGAACTGCTCAAGAAGAGGTAGACCTTGACAAGATTCTAGAAGAGCTTGGTGAAGCACCCTCAGTGTCTAAACCTTCTCCCACTCTGCTTGCAGCTTCAGCTGGGCTTCCACAAGAGGAGAAAGTTCAAAGCCAGCCTCAACCGGAAGATGGGGCTGGTGAAAAGGAAGCCGATGAGGAAGGGCCTGTAGAGTCTGCAGCTGCAAAGAAGAAGAAAAAGAAGAAGGAAAAAGAAAAAGAGAAAAAGGCAGCTGCCGCTGTGGCAGCTGCTGATGGCCCTTTAGTGGAAGAAAAGAAGGATGAAACAAAGGGTAAAGTTCCCGATAAGAAAGTTTCAAAGCAAGTTAGGGAGATGCAAGAGAGAATTGCAAAACAGAAGGAAGCTGCAGAGAGGAAGAAGAAGGAAGAAGAGGAGAGATTAAGGAAGGAAGAAGAGGAGCGCCAGAAGCAGGAAGAGCTGGAAAGGTTAGCTGAAGAGAGAAAGCGCTTAAAAAAAGAAAAGGAAAAGGAGAAGACTTTGAAGAAAAAACTAGAGGGGAAACTATTAACTGGGAAGCAAAAAGAAGAAGCTCGTAGGAGGGAGGCAATGCGGAACCAAATTCTTTCTAATGCTGGTTTGCAGTTGCCTGCTGGCGACACTGCTGGACCATCAGCTAAGCGGCCATTGTATCAGAAGAAAAAGTCAAAGACACAAGCTCGGGCAAATGGAGCAGCCTCTGGAGAGGGTGTTGTGTGTTTAGAAGCAGAAGAAAACCAGCAGGAAAATAAAGGTAAAGAACTCGTGGAAGAAGCTGAGGATGTTGAGGAAGTGGAATCTGAATTAGCTGAGAAGCTCGAGGAATTGAATTTAACGAATATAGAGGAGAAAGGTGAAGTTACTGATGTTGTAATGAATGGAGTTGACGAAGAAGACGATGATGAAGAATGGGATGCTAAAAGTTGGGACGATGCTGATCTTAAGTTGCCAGGTAAAAATGCATTTGCTGATGAAGAGGTTGACTCAGAGCCTGAACCTCTAGGTAAGAAAGAGATAAGAAGTGCTCGACCTTCTACTAATGATGCTGTGCTGCCTCCTGCAGCAGCCAAGCCAGTAGTTACAACGCCAAAAGCCACCTCAGTTTTGCCACATATACCTCAGAATGTGCAAAGTAAGAATGACGATCCTGAAACTGAGGGTATAGACAAGAAAAAAAGAAAAGTTGTTAAGAAGGAAGCAAAATCGGATGTCCCAAGCTTGAGTGAAAAAAGTCTTCGGTCGCCCATATGCTGCATAATGGGGCATGTGGACACTGGTAAAACAAAGCTGCTTGATTGTATAAGAGGCACTAATGTCCAAGAAGGTGAGGCTGGTGGGATTACCCAGCAAATTGGCGCAACATATTTTCCTGCTGAGAATATTCGAGAGAGAACCAAGGAACTGAAAGCTGATGCCAAATTGAATGTTCCAGGACTATTAGTGATTGATACTCCAGGACACGAGTCCTTTTCTAATCTGCGTTCTCGAGGTTCAGGATTATGTGATATTGCAATATTGGTTGTTGACATAATGCATGGTTTGGAACCACAGACTATCGAGTCTCTGAATCTTCTGAAGATGAGAACTACAGAATTTATAGTTGCCTTGAATAAAGTGAGTCACATCATAACGTTGCTTTGATTTCTTTGTTTCTATTAGCTCATGTTACATTGTTTTACCATGCTAGGTTGATAGACTGTACGGCTGGAAAACTTGTCGTAATGCACCAATTGTTAAGACAATGAAGCAACAGTCAAAAGATGTACAAATCGAATTCAATATGAGGCTTACTCAGGTATTGTATATTGCTTCACATGTATGGATTCACATATCTATGTTAGTATGCACAATAACTTTTGGTTATTTGTAGGGTTTTTTTGGGGGAAAGGGTGGGTTGTTAATTCGGGCATATCTATCTCTTAACCCCTGAAGTAACTTTTGCCATTTGATTGAACTATATTATGTTGACACTATTTGAATGTTACAGGTTGTAACTCAGTTCAAGGAGCAAGGGATAAATACTGAGTTGTATTATAAGAATAAAGAAATGGGGGAGACATTCAGTATTGTTCCGACGAGTGCAATTAGGTTTGATTTGTTACTTTAATTTGTTAACACTTTTTCAATGTCTTCCCTTTACTAGTTTTGAGTTTATGATTACATAATGTCTACTAACTATATTCCATTTCGTAACATCCTGACACTGTGTTTTGCTTCTGTACCAGTGGTGAAGGCATCCCTGACTTGTTACTACTGCTAGTGCAATGGGCTCAAAAAACTATGGTCGAGAAACTTACATACAGTAATGAAGTGCAGGTTTGTCTTCTTTTCATTTTTTGTCAATGCTTGAGAGAAATGAAGTGTGTGTGAATACTGACAATGGGTCGCAACTCTATGGCAGTGTACCGTTTTGGAGGTTAAGGTTATTGAAGGTCATGGAACAACCATTGATGTGGTGTTAGTCAACGGCGTGCTTCATGAAGGAGATCAAATAGTTGTTTGTGGGATGCAGGCAAGTATTGGATACTTGGGGGCTCTAAATTTAATTGGATGGTATTATCCAAATCTTACACTTGATTTTTTCTCAGGGACCAATTGTTACCACAATCCGAGCATTATTGACTCCCCATCCAATGAAGGAGCTCAGAGTCAAGGTAAAGATTGCTTTGGGTATTGTTACTCAGTTTTACTAGCTAAGTCAGTTGTTCCACTTTCCTTTTTTCTCTACCTTAAAATTATTATGACAAATTAAGCGAATGTGGAGCTCGGATAATTTTTAGTGGCTACATTTTTGACAGTTAACTTATTATTGTATGTTGTGTCAGTGTAAATTGGAAAGTCCTTCATGATCTTAGCTATAGCGAAGCTGCAAGGAAATGCTGTTTGAAACCATTATAATGTTTGAAGTTTGTATAAGAGCCTAACAGAACTATCAAACTGTGCTAAATTGGGCGCGAGGCATTTTGTGCCTGTGAGGGTGCTGAGGTGTAAGACTAATAGAAAGTAACAGAACCATACTCGTAATAAACTGTAGATCATCTAAAAATATCCATAATAGAACATTCAGCAAAATTAAAAGTCTAATATGTAACTAGAAACATAAAATGGATTTTTTTTTTGAAAGGTAATCAAATATTTTATTAATTTATGATACACATGAAGTGTATTATCGCTTTAAATCAAAAAGTAACAACATTTGAAAGGTAATCAAATATTTTATTAATCAAAGCATAATACACAGGAAGTGTACCATCAATAAAACTGATTTGAAATGGAGAAAGTAGCTAAGAATAATATGCATAGCAGTGGTCACGTAACAAGTCCACTAAAACAAATTAAACAATTGACCAACTATTTATGAAATTTTCTTACACTTAAAAAAGAAAAGACACAAGCAACAACAATATGAAAGAGAAGAACAGAGAAGTTCTTATCACAATCTCCTAGCACTTGTCATTTGCTGTTGAAAAATTGCAACATTGCTTTGGAAGGGGATTGCACTCCAATCATAAAAATAGAGGGCTAGAGCATGCATGGGCTCTTCTCTCGATCTCTTTTGCCAATCAATATTTTTCGTTTCAATTTTTGGTTGCGGGTTTTTTGTTAAACCTTTCAAACAACACTCTAATATTTTGGGCTATTAAAAACCAGCCAAAACGTGGACAGTAAAAAGAACCTGAGAAAGAGTAAGACTAAAGACTAAAGAGTGCAATGCATGGCTGGCTGTGTTTTAGAGAGCACCACCTTGAGGCCTAAGCCTTGAGCACTCATACTGTAAGATTTGAGAGTCCTAGCAGAAGGTTCACATGACGCGTACCTTGAGGCATATGCCTCGGGCACCTTGAAAACAATGCATGGTCTTTCACCACATCTTTTGTGCTTAGTCGCTACTCCAGGAAGCATGGAAACAAGTTCTAGTTTCTATTTTCTAATAATGGATGCAGTTTTGTGGGTGAAATTACCAAATGGATCAGGTTACAACAATGTCTTGGTTTGTCCTTGAGAAAAAAAAAAATTTTGTTTCTGTGCTAATCCACTAATAATATATTGATTTTCAATTTTTCTACAAAATGTCAAAATCTTGTTCAAAATAATAAAATTTATAATATTAATAATATCAGCGTAACAATGATAATCATATCGTTAAAGACACAGTTCCAGTTCCTATTTTCGTGATTTATCAAGTACATTGAACTGCTTCTGGTTAAGCTAAGCTGTCTTGGGATACTGATAAAAATGCCATAAGCACCTAGGCTGCCTTACAGTGAAATGTGGAAAGGAGTTTCTGTTGATTCCAAATATAATATTTATTAGCTGTGCCTGTAATTTATGACAATTAAGAGTATGCTATTTCTAAGGTATACATGCACATGTACTTATCAAAAAGATATACATGCACATGCATACACACAATCAAACCCACAAATGCCCATATTCATATGCCATGGATATGTATGAATATGTTAGTGGATAATTATTTCCTATAGCTATTAGCTTAGGAGTATCTTGAGGGACTGTATTTTGACGCAAGTTCCACCGGGGAAGTTCGAAATAAAAAATTTACAGTATCAGCGAGAGTGCGAGCCCACATACACGAACACGTGTATTAATTCGATATATATGAATGTGTTAGTGGATTTTCATTTGCAATAGCTATTAGCCTTAGATTATCATACTTTATACCCTAGTTTCAGGGGAAAATTATAAAACAAAAATTTTCAGCTTTTTATTGTAATCCTTGACAAATAGTTGCCAGAATAAAACGAATATAAAGGGTTCCAATTTAGCGGAGTGTTGGCATTGCTTTGTCTCCTCTTGGACTTTATGGATAACGAGCATTGAACTTCACTTAAACCTTTGTTTGTTGGATTACATCTCTGTTGCTGCTCTAAAATATGCTTAGAGAGTACCGAGCCCATTGGGTTCCTTGCCTCCCCCTTGTTCACACGTAATGCCCAAGGAGCTGGAGCTTGATCATCCATCTCGGTGATGCACATTTCGAGCCATCAATATTGTTTCTTCTTTTCTCCTTTTGAGCAAATGAAACTTCATAACCTGTCAATGGTGAAAGGCTTAAGGTGGATAAATCCATGTACTTTATAGGGCTCAAACACCTGAGTGTCTAAAATAGAATGAAATATGCAAAAGCTGCATTGTAAATTTCTTTGAGAAATGTCAAAGTTTTACTTGCCCATCCTGGATATCTCAGGAAGAGATTACTGTAAAACCTCTTGATGCTTAGTGACCTTATTTGTGTTCTATGCATATTTTTCTCTCCATAAATTCACCTGTTAAATAAATACACCCACTAGACTTAGTAGTTACAAGTGTCTAGATCCTTAGTTGCAGTACATTCTACAATTGCAATACTCTATCTATATCCCGAAATTTGTATAAGAACGTGCCTTAAAGTTCTTCCTTTCCTCTTTTAAGCACTAGGTGCGCATTGATTATTGGATATAAATAATGCTCTATTGGTTGTTTAATTTCAGGGAACTTATCTGCACCACAAAGAAATCAAGGCTGCCCAGGGTATCAAGATTACTGGTCAGGTAATTTTATTATTAGAGGGAAGTGTTATTATCTTACCTGCGTTCTCTTGTAGTTGTTCCATCATTGCAACAATATGTCAAAATATAAAATGTGTTGACAAGTGAAATATGATTGTTGATAAAGAATTGTTAATGCAGATTTAATATAGATATAATAAAGAAGCAAGGAATGTTATGTAGCCATAGTCACATTTGGGGCTCCTTAATGTGGATTGTGTGGGGATGGAGAGCGGATGTGAATTATATTTGCTATTTCTTATTGCATCAGAATGGAACCAATAAGTTATCCAAAACTCTGTACAAGTAAAGCTTGTTAACCCCGACTTCTACTATGAGATAAGGTTACTTGATTTACAAAGATAGTTTGTCTAAGTGGTTATGTACAGAGTTAGACAGGTAACTTTCTAATTCAAGCCATTTCCCCTCTACAAGCCACCTCACACTTGGCAAACAGACTAACTTACATCTGTTTTTTGTCAATATTGATGGTGTTCTATTTTGTTTCTCTTCTTCTTTTCATAATTGCTTGATTTCTAATTTTAGAAAGGCGATTTATGCTTATCAGTTTAGTTCATATCATGGTTCGGGTGTTAAAAATCAGTGAGGGTCTCTCTTCCTTCAGAAATATGAAGAAGTGCACGAGGATCTCGTGTAGTCAAATCAATTGTTCTTTGAGAATAGTTGTAAAAACAAAAGGATAATGATATGATTTTAGAAATATCATTGATTATTTCTATCATTTTGACCCAATTCTCAATCTCTCGCACCCAACACTTGGATCTTCAAATGCAAGCTATTGTCCCATTTTCTATTTCCAGTTTGTGCTTTTGCTGAGAACTCTTCAAGATATTCTCCATTTAAAATTATTTTATTTTCATTGTATTCTTTAGGGCCTTGATCATGCCATTGCTGGCACTGCACTATATGTTGTGGGGCCAGATGATGATTTGGAAGACATCAAAGAAGCAGCCATGGAAGATATGAAGTCAGTTATGAGCCGGATTGATAAAAGTGGTGAAGGAGTTTATGTTCAAGCATCCACCCTTGGTTCTCTGGAGGCCTTGCTGGAGTTCTTGAAGACCCCAGAAGTAAAGATACCTGTTAGTGGTATAGGCATAGGCCCCGTACATAAGAAGGATGTCATGAAGGCAAGCGTCATGCTAGAGAAGAAGAAAGAGTATGCAACAATTTTGGCTTTTGATGTTAAAGTCACACCAGAGGCTCGGGAACTTGCAGATGAACTTGGTGTCAAAATATTCATTGCTGATATTATATATCACTTATTTGATCAGTTCAAGGCCTATATTGATAACCTCAAGGAGGAAAAGAAGCGGGAAAGCGCTGACGATGCAGTATTTCCTTGTGTTCTCAAGATTATGCCAAATTGCGTCTTTAACAAGAAAGATCCGATTGTTTTAGGAGTGGATGTTCTTGAAGGAATTGTCAAGGTAATATTGATGGGTTATTCTATATGTTTCTTGATATACTGAATAAATGTATGTTTATCACATATAGGTTTTCACACTCTTTGAGTTCCAGCTATCCATTAAGAATCTTATTAGGACCTGATTTGGGTAAATTTTAATTCAAGTAAAAATAAGTACATGATTAACAAGAAGGTAGATCCCTCCTTGTGATTTAGTGCTTTCATGATTTGCTATCTTGTGAATCTTGCATAGGATGGGACGGGTTCATATTTGTTTTGTATGTTTGGTGCTCTCATAATTTGCTATCTTCTCTCTTGATGTATTTAGATATCTGATTGAATAGATCTGTTGTCTTAACTATGCAGTATTCTAGTCATCATTATATATGTTCATGAGAAATACTTCCCAATTGAGTGGTTTCTTTGTAGATATAATTATATAAATTCGTTTAGTTTATAGTTAGCTCAAAAATGATCATTCATCTCCTTTTTTCATTCTGTTTCCCATGCAAGGACTTGCTTTCCTTTCTCTAATCGTCTGACAATGGTGCAAGTGTCCCCATGCTTCACTTCTAAGGGTTTATTCACTTTGTTCTATTTGCATTTTTCTATGTTTCCATGTGTCCTTGTCTGCTTGATTGCCATTTATCTTTTGTTGTTTGGCTCATCATTCTACTTTCAAAACTTCTACAGGTTGGAACTCCAATTTGTGTTCCTCAAAAGGATTTCATTGACATTGGTCGGATTGCTTCAGTGGAGAATAACCACAAGCCTGTGGACTATGCCAAGAAAGGACAAAAAGTCGCTATTAAGGTATGATGCCATTTTTCTATGCTTGATCTTTGGTGTTTCTTTTGTATAAGATTTTGATTTTTAAATGCTGAAGTACCACAAGGGACTTTTGAAATGTATCTGCGCGCGCGCACAGAGAGAGAGAGAGAGAGAGAGAGAGAGAGAGAGAGAGAGAGAGAGAGAGAGCAGTATGAAATTTAGTGGAGAAAAAGGTTGCTGAGGCGGATTAACAATTTGATAGCCAATTTATATTGTATCTTCAACCTTGTGAGGCCTTTTCTAGAGAAATTAGAGTATCGCGATGCATCTTCCAAAGGTGTGAATATGGAAAAATATTTTTGGATACCCTGTAAACTTTTTAAGCTGCCTAAGACCAAATGGCCAAATTTTGGAGCAGAATTCATAAACTGAATTCTATGAAAACATTAAAATATTTATGCATAAACAAATAAATCCCGTTGGAAGTTTTGAGAAAACAGAAGGAAAACTTATCGGAGACTCAGAGAAGTAAACTGAGGATATGGATAAGTACAACTATATACTGGTTATCTGTTCATTTACTTGATCTAGAGAATAGCAGCTGGTCTTATGCAGTTGTAGATGGTTAATATCAGTTATTAGTATGTTCGAAATCAATGTCCGCTTAAGATGAATGGTTCAGAAAATTCCTGCTTATCTTTTTCTATTCACAGTTGAACAGATATAAGTGCAATTTAGAGAGTTATTTTATCTGACTTTGTATACTTGGTTTATCTTATCCCGGGATGCATTGTTTGGTGTGTGTGGAGGGAAAGGAATAACCGATGCTTTGAAGACTAAACACGGAACACGGAGCAATTTAGAGAATTATTTTACCTGACTTTGTATACTTGGTTTAATGCAGCGACTAGTAATCCTGGCTGCCTAACTTCATATCGTTTCTTTCTTGTTTAAACTGATGATACACTTCCTTTGTATTCTTTTATTAATATAATTTTATGATTATTTATATAAAAAAAACGGATATAAGTGAAAAAGTTTATAGAAACAGGATAGTTTTTGTGATGTGCATAAACTGTTTTTGTCCGCTCAGATCACATTCAATTTGATTGGCAATGGGTATTGTTACAACTGAATAAGTTCCTTGGGCAAGGTTAATCTTCGAGATTCTAGGATAGTATCATTGTGGTGTGCAATACAAATTTCCATTCTGTTTCTCCATGCATAAATGATTACAATTTTGGCTGCTGCCAACTTTATAACCTCAAGTTTTATGCTTCAATTTAGTTAGATTCTTGGATATGCAGTCTTCCACTTTCAGCTGGTTCATTCTATCATGTGCTTAGCATTCTTAAAACCTTTATTTTTTTGGTGCATTCTCAGATAGTTAGCAGCAGTTCCGATGAACAGCAGAAGATGTTTGGCAGGCATTTTGAGATCGAAGATGAGCTTGTCAGCCGAATTTCTAGAACATCAATTGATGTTCTTAAAACTAATTATCGGGTATGGAAAAAATTCAACTTATCTTTGTATGCAAGGAGAATATGCATTTTCGCTCTAGGTCCATTTTAATTTTTAAGCATAGTTTTACTGACTCGTGATTATCTCCAGGATGACCTGTCTAATGAAGAATGGAGACTCTTGGTCAAATTAAAAAACCTTTTCAAGATTCAATAGCTTTGATGATAACAGCATTAAGGAGTTACCTCGAGCTAACAGACAGGATGAAAGGACACAGTTGAAGGAAGAAGCTTGGACAGGTGTGCATAATCAGGCGAAAGTGATTCGTGTAATATGGTCATGGCGAAACTTATTCTTGCTTAGCTATTTGTGCCAGGAAGGCCATTCTTCGGAATTGCCATTCGGGATGGTGATTACAGTTGCCTTCTGCACTTCTCTACGGTTTTGTTGTGTGTTTCTTCTGATGCGAGATTGGCTGGTATAGAGGAAAATAATTATGAAGATGATGGTATGATTTTCAACTGTTTGATTAGATGGTCGTAAAGTTTTGTACGATTGGTTTTCAGTACTTGTCGGTCTCTATATATCGACACGATGAAATAAAGTTTTATTTTTATAATTCTGGCAGTATATTTCCATTGCATGATGAGAAGAGACTGTGGCTTTGGAGGCTAAACTGGCAGTGTTCCCATTCAATATTTATAAGAGCATTTGGGACCTGATAAATTTTTCTTGACATTTGAGTTTCAATTTTTTTACTTTATTTAAGTTGAAGGGCAGTTATGCCTTTTTAGAAATTTTGATGAAACCGTTAATTAAATATTTCTCCAAAATTATTTTCAATAAATTCACAGATTTTCTCATTTTTCAACTACACATCCAATAATCTGTGTCCAATAACTTACTACTCACTCTGTACAAGCATTTACAAGCAACGCCAAAGAAGCACTTGAAAGCTAAAAATAAAAAATAAAAAAATTAAGGTAAAAATGTAACAAGAGTTAAAAGTTGGGGACGAAACGTCAATTTTAACCATATGTTTTCAAAATTATGAGGTTCAAGAAGGTACTCCACTACTCAAACTTGTGGTATTAGCCAGATGCAAGGACTCTAAACGTCAAATTCAACTATTGTTGTATATTCATTGTTTCATGAGACTTTATATTTATTTTGTTGAAAAATGTGAGACATTTAAATATTAAAATTTTCTGTTTCTAAATCTTTGATTCAAAAACGTTGATACAAGATATTTTATACATCATACGATGATTAAATTTAGGATTAGACTACATGAATTTAAGTTTTGGTCTTAATTTGTTTACACCGTATCCTTCACTATGTGTCAAGGACCGCAGCTTCAATTAGCCCCTTGACCCAATTGCAGCCGCAGTTTTCCTAACTTCGACCGCACATTGTAAATAATTTATTTCAGTTGTAAAATAGATGTGATATTGGAAAAGTTTAGTACGATTTCTCGGCATTTATAATTCTAATGCTATCAATTAGGTTTTTGTGTAGAATGGTATTATATGGGGTATTAGTTTTTCAAGCAATCTTTGAAGCTTTCTAGTGTTAGTCCCCTACACTAGCCATTGTAATTTCCTACTTTCATTAATTGTAATTTCTAACTTTCAAACAATTAATGATCAATTTACATTTAATGCGTTTCAATTTCATGTTGTAAGCTTTCTATAAATTGTAATCAAATTTTCTTTCGTCCTAAAATGACCGAAAGAAGGCGAAAGGTAGTCTGCCGCACGGTATCCCTTTCTGTGTTAAAAAGAAATGCACCTCGTGAAACTATGGATGGGGCTAGAGCTCATTTTTGTTCCATTAATTGAAGACTAGACATAATAACCCTCTTTAAGTTTTAGATATTACTAAAATACTTCACTACACATGGTTTGAATTAAAAAAAAGTAGTAGTCTAGTTGAATATCTTTGTTGCCACGTTAGACAATACTTCCAACTTCCATTTTTGTATAATGGTGCATCTCAACTCTGGAGCATATTATGGACGCATAACTATGTTGTCATGTATATTTGAGATTCATGTACACCTCCTCGTCCATGAAAGCATTGAGTTAAACCACTTTGTTAGAAATTATTGTTCACCTATTTGACAAATGTAGTGGTGGCTACAGATGATTGGATGTAAAAGTTGATTTTTTTTAAACAGTCCAATGATGTAGCATTCTATCAAGGAATGTGACAATTTTTCTGACAATAAAGCATGATTGTGAAACATTTGAGGGATACAAGGACAACTTAAGCAAGGAAACACATCTTAAGCACGTAAAATGGTTTCTCTACGACAAAAAATGACAGATTGGGAATTTAAATGCAATAGAAAAAGATTAGGGACTCATTTGTTACTAAGACAATAGGTGAGGGACCATCTGCCACCTGGACTATCTCATCCGATTAAAGATGTACAGCTCTCTAATTCAGTTGACGTTTCATTTCCTTTATTTTTTCTAAAAATCAATTTCTGTAATAAAAATCAAAATCCAGATTGCAAATCAGATCTGATCGTTGCCTCTTCTAATTTTCGGGCGTCCTCTAACTCCCAGTAGCTTACTAAATCACTTGCTTTTTCTAGATCCATTGGTTTTTCTCCACTAGCAAGGCACACGAAAGAATGTAGCTGTCACTTGCCTCAGTTAATAATGCTTTGATCTCTCTCATTTTCTTAATGGGTTGCTATTTTTTGGTAGTTTTATTCAGTGGGTCTGCGTCTTTTGTGTTCTCTTTCATGGATTCTTCATTTTCTGTGGTTTTGGTTGAAGGATGGAATAATAATATTATTTATGTGTGGCCATTCTTAATGATGCAGGAAGAATTTACAGTTATGTAAGTATTGTGGCAGCAGTCAGCATTTTCTTATTTTTGAAATAAAAAATGGGATCGCTTTCATGTAGGTAGAATACCCATTTTTCTCGTTTTTCAATTAGGTAGGACAGAATAGTGTAAATGCTGACAAAATGAGTTTAAATAATTCCAAGCACTTGATGGCGAGAATTTAAAACATCTGAATTACTAGCATGAAAAACTATAAATGCCCAATAAGAAAGTATGTATTTTGATTTTGACCCATCTAATTTTCTCAAATTATGTCAGCCTGTTAAAGAAGAAAAGAAATTTTGATTGGCTTTTTCATTAAGGGATAATCCCATCGAAAAGACATAAAAATATAAACCAACATAATAAGTGCTTGGATTACTTCTCTTTACAAGGTTAACGTTTCAAGATGGAATCCCAAAGCCTTAATAGGTTTATTGGTTAAGACTTAATCAAGCAAGCATATGGCTTATTTACGGGACACAGTGTAACTACTCATTTGTCCTTGGTATGGACATAGATGAATGACTGGGTTATCAATGATCACAAACATAACTTACTTGGAAAAGGTAAACATTGATTTTGGATCCCTTTTTCGCTGGATAACGTTTGTATTTTTCAGCAAGCCTGTACACATTTATGTAATGTTAGCTTTTGTTTGAGGGGCCATTGCATTTTGGATCATTTATATATACTGTTGACTTTCGTCTTTTGTCACTGGATATCCTAACTTTAAATTTTGGTGCTTGTATGTTTAAAAGAGAAATGAATGCACCAGATACTTGCAGAAAAGTTGCAAGGCACGCTTGGTTGAAAATATAAGTGGGTGGATAGTACACCACGAAAGGGAACAAAACGAGAATCCTTATTCTATTCTTGACATTCTGCACTCCATACCGATCAATGGGGTCCGAGCAGAATCAATTTCCACAACCGCCAGCTCCTGGGGTATTTTGATTTCTTACTCTTTTCTTGTTCACCATCTAAACACACACCCACGCCCACACCCACAAAAATATGTGTGGATATGAACTTTAGGGGCAGTACAAGTTGGCGTGCTCTGTACTTGAACAGTTGAATGGAATTGACCATCTGGAGTCATTATACTTTAAATCTTTCTTGATGGTCTCTGCCTAACTTGTTACTGGGCCTGAATTTAAGGATACTCAATTTTCTGACTAGCTTGAAAAATGGGTATGATGGGGTAAACTTGTCATAACATAGAAGAGCAATGTATTTTGATTGCCTATGCCATCAATTACCTTTTGGAGTTNATCTAATTTATTTAATTAATTTGCTAATTTGTATAGAAAAAAATAAAATAATTTAATTAATTCAATATAAAAAATAAAAAAATTATTTAGTTTCGGTTCTTATTCGGTTCTTCGGTTCTTGGTCTAGACCCGAGACTCGACCCAAACCTATCGGTTCTCGATTCGGATACCCGTTCGGGTATTTAATTTATGAAGAACCGCTCGGTTCGGTTCGGTTCGGTTCGGGTTCGGTTCGGGACTTTTGGACACCCCTAATGCCATCAATTACCTTTTGGAGTTTACATTTAAGAATTAATGATTTACAACCTGACTTCGTGGACAAAGCATAACAGAGCAAGAATTTCAAGAACATAACTTTTTCTCCAGAAGATAACTTCAGAAAATTTCCCTCTTATAATAAAGCACTTACCCATATGTTCCTGTTGAGAGTTAAAGTATTACACTATTCCACTAAATTTTACTTTGAGACAGTATGTATTGTGATTTTTGCCTGAACATTTATATATTCAGATTATAAGTTATCTTGTAGCATTCTCGCCTGCAAACAAATTGTTTACTTAAATCATTTTATTCTGCTGGAACTCCTTTTTTTGAGCATTAAAATTTCTCTATTACGTATTCAGTTGATCTAAGGCATGGAACGTCAGCCCTTGTCACTGTCTTTTTTCCCGATCATTGATGCAGTCATTAAGACTTTGGTTTCCTATGATCCTATTCGTATATTTTGAGAATTTTGAGGCCATTTCACAAAATAGCATGCCGGTAATTAAATTGATAAATAGAAATTAGTTGGGAGACAATTTAAATTTATTTGGATTAAATGGACCTAAATTTAATAGTTTGGAACTGTCTGTCGATGTGATTCCTGTGTTGTCATCACTTCATACCTTGGTGTACTATTAATGGGCTTTCTAAATTTGTTATTTCCCCCTTAACTAAATCAAACTAGTTCCAGATAGTGAAGGTTGGTTCAGCTTTCTTAGTTTGTGATAACAGAGTTCCGTCGTTAATGGGCTTCTTACATTGTAGAGATTGAAATTGATGTATCATGCATTCATATTTACATATGCTCTTTCTCTATTTTGTTATTGTTTAGGAGAATGTGTTATTTTATGAGATGGGCTGGACCAAATTACATTCCTTATAAATGGCATTGATATCGTCTAGGTGCATTATCTATTTCTCAAGTCTTACGATTTAAAAATGAAATGCAATCCATTGATCTTTGAGCTATATTTAGACTTCATTCGCCGGAGATACAAATTCGTCAAGAATCAAGCTATATCACATATGCTTTTTGTGAACTTTGTGGACAATTCACAAAATTATATGCATTTAATAAAATTCTAAACAAGATACAGATTATAAATTTGTTTGAATTTCTAGTCTTGGTTGGAAGTGATTATGTGCATCCCACGTACTCCCGTTCACAAAAATAGGATTTGTTTGACCATGCATGGTTAAGAAGAAACTTTTAATACCATCTTAGCCATACATTTTAGAAACGTTAAAAAATTACCATTAAAAACTTTATATGAGTGGATTGCTTCCAACATCAAAACTGATGGAGGAGAACTCAACTCAATCCTGACCGTCTCCTTATTTAGGATAAAATATTTTGAAGATAATTTAAAACCAGTTCCCATTAAGTTGTAGTCAACGGGGTTAATAAAGGCATACTATTCGAGAATGTGATTGAATAATTGAAATTTGACGATTTTTATATTGCTGAATGAGCCTCTCATATCTGTTCAAGTGATGAGAGTTTTTATGTCATTGGAGCATCATTTTAATTGAACGTAGCTTTACTTTCATAGAATCCTGTTTTTGGTGCACTTTTTTACGGGCGGGTGGCTCTCGTGGATTTACTTGAATGGAGTGCCCTCAAACTATGTACTAGGGAAATGGGTTACATGATATGTAATATGCGTACATATCGTCAACTGTTTTATTATAACCTTGCTATTAATGACATCCTACTTGTTTGTGTTCTTGGATTCCTATTTTCTCGACTTTTTCTGCTTAATTCCATCTCAGTAAATTCTTTTACATGTTGAGGTGTTTTTATGAAACTTTGTTTCCATGAGCATTTGGGGGCTAATGCTTTACCATGTTGATACTTGACAGCTAAAGAGATGGGAAGGCTGTTGGGGTGGACTGTCTTGTTTTGGCAAACAAAAAGGTGGAAAACGTGTTGTACCCGCATCTCGCAGTCCAGAGGCCAATTCTTTATCAAATCAGCCAAATGGACATCGGGCTGGTGGATTGCCTAATCAGTCTACATCTATTTTAGCCCCACCATCTTCACCTGTGTCCTTCTCGAATTCTGCACTCCCTTCAACAGCACAGTCACCCAATTGTTTCTTGTCAGCCAATTCGCCGGGAGCTACTTCATCTACTATGTTCGTCACAGGTCCATATGCCCATGAGACGCAACTCGTATCTCCTCCCGTTTTCTCGACTTTCACAACTGAGCCATCCACAGCTCCTCTAACTCCCCCACCCGAGTTGGCACATATCACTACTCCCTCTTCCCCAGATGTGCCTTATGCTCGATTTCTTTCATCATCTGCCAATCTTAAAGCCACTGATAAAGACAGTCAGATTAATGCCAATGATCTTCAAATGAATTATTCACTTTATCCTGAAAGCCCCGCTAGCAGTCTCAGATCACCTGTTTCAAGAACATCTGGTGATGGCCTATCATCGTCTTTTCGTGAAAGGGAGTTTCCTCCGCTATGGGATTCTTCAATTCTTTCGCAAGGGACTGCATGCACGAAATCTGAGTCTGGCAGGTTACTTGGGCTTAAACCAGTTGGCGCCACCTCCACATTGCGACAAGATTCCAATTTTTTCTGCCCAGAAACATTTGCTCAATTCTACTTGGACCACTCTACATTTTCTCACTCTGGTGGTAGGCTGAGTATTTCCAGGGAATCAGATGCTTACTCAAGTTATGGAAATGGGCATCAGAATAGGCAGAACAAAACTTGCAAACCAGATGTTGAGGAAATTGAAGCTTACAGAGCATCCTTTGGGTTCAGTGCTGATGAAATCATCACTACAACTCAATATGTGGAGATTTCTGATGTAACCGAGGATTCCTTTAGCATGACACCTTGTACTTCTAATAAGTCACGTGAAGGGGAACATATCATAACTGCCCCAGCAGTTGAAAATCCACTCGCAGATAAGACACGTGAAGATTTTCCAAGCCCACAGTTTGGTAAAGCAAGACAGAATCATGCTCAGGGGGCATACTTTGGAGTGCCTGGTTCATGCAATGGTTTTGAAGGTTAACTTATTTGTCTATCATTACCTGAGCTAAGTGCCTGATTTTAAACTAATAAGAATAAGTGAACGCCTAACATAATTTAATTGAAGTGCCTGTACCAATCATTTTGTTAGATCTTCTAATTTCTGCTTTCTCCTTGGTGTTCCTGCCCTAAAAATTGCATTGTATTCAATATACTTGTTCAATGCTGGCAGTACAGTTTTGATATTTATTTGTGTCCCATCAATCCCATTTTGATTAAAGTTTATTATTTGCTGGTCTTGATAGGCTCTATCTTGCATTCATGACTGAATCTGAATTACCAGATCGAATGTTGTTTAGGATAACGTTATCTTCTTACATTTTTACTTTTATTTCTCAGATCATGTTCCCCACAGTCGATTTGGAGATGGTTCTGGACGAAACAATCCTGATAACTACATTGTGAGTGATAATGACGACGTATTCCATAATGTGGAAGCTTCCAGAATCAGCCAGAAACATCATTTATGCTCATCAAATTCTGATACAGAAATCGAGTATAGGAGAGGGCGAAGCTTGAGAGAAGGACGAAGCTTAAGATAATGCTAAGGTTACTTCTCATGGCACGACTTTTTGCTAAACTCTTGTATGTATTTAAGCTTTTGTGTCCAGGGTTCTTTGACAAATAATCTGACATTTGCTCCGATCCTTCCTTTTTTTTGCTTGTTTGCACATCTGTCGGGATTTTAGACATACTATCACAACAGTAACATTGGTGGCTGTCCAAGGTGAAAGCATCAACTGATACAATTTGGGATGTTTGTATATGTTTTGAATCTTCTGTTCAAAATGCTAGCTTAAATCCTTGTTTTCGAAACAGCATTCAAGGTGCACATTGAACTGATATGGATCGTTTTGAAGTAGTTCTGCTAATTGCTGGGGTGTATATTATCCAACTGCAATTATTTTCAAGAATAATGCTATTTAACATCAATGGTACTAGAGTATCAGTTTAGGCACAATTGATATGTTCAATTAAATGAATAAATGTGACATTGCGTTTAAGTGAACCTATGATTTAATGCCATTCAATTGACACTTGGATTGGTACATGACACTTCAGCATTACTCTAGTTTCAATGCAAGATTTTTCAACAAACTTTAGTTGATTTTTGATAGTGTTCAATGATTTTAGCTGCATCAGTAGAACTATCAGCTAGATCTTCTTTTGCAAGAACTAAAATTCTATCCTTGTGTCAAGACTTGTCGGGTAGAGAGAGAGAGAGAGAGAGAGAGAGAGAGAGAGAACTCCTTGCAAGGTTTTATATATTTCTCTGAAAGATTTGTTGTCGTAGTAAATAATGTCTATCAATCAAACTTATGGACGTGCCATTTGATTAAAAATAAAAAAAGAAGTGAAAAAAAGGTTCATCTTATTAACATTAAATTTTGATTTTTTGATATGTTGGTCTAAGAGTTCGTTAGGCATGATTTTTAAAACGTCAAAAGCGGCTTTTGAATCGTTCGGTTAATTTTAAGAAAGTGTTTCTTTTGGTTAAAAGAACTTTTAGAGGAAGTTGGTTTGATGTTGTTTTTTCTGAAAACTTTTAAAAATTAGTTTTCAAAAAGTAATTTTTTTCAAAAAGTTCTTTCGCATGAAGCAAAAGTAAAAATAAATGTAAAAATTATGTCGAATGGACCCCAAGTCTTATAAAATATTGGGAAGTTACTATTTTACTAGCTAAGGTTTTTTTTTTTTTTT